GTGTACTTTCCAAATGTTCTAAAATAGATATGTATTCATCAATATTTATGGAATGCCCACATTGCATCAGTCATTGTCCTGGGATCTGGACACACAAAGGTCATGAGGCACAGTCTTTTTCCTCAAGTTGCTTATAATGTAGTGTCTTATTTTTATATTGTAACTTTTAAAATTATAGAACAACAAAGTTGTTGTTTATTAACTAGGGTAGGTGAGAAGTAGTGTCCCATGTATTCTCATTTGATCTCTTTCCCTCACACCACCTTTTCAAGCCAACAGGAATTCTGGCTGATTTATCTTCAAAATATATCCAAAATCCTATGAAAGGTAAACCAATAAAGCTCTGAGAGAAAATAAATAAGAGAATATCTTCAAGACCCTGGAGTAGGCAGAGTCCTTAAACAGAACATAAATGGGCTAACTATAAATGAAAAAATGGTAAATTGTACTAAATTATAATTAAAACTCTGTTCATCAAACCGCACTATTAAGAGAGTAAAAAGACAGGCTACTGAGGGGGAAAAAGCTTTTATAATTCACATATAAGACTCATATCCAGAATATATAAAGAACTCCTACGAAGCAATAAGAAAATGGCAGATAACCCAAAAGAAAAATAAGCAAAGATTTGAACAGGCAATCATAAAAGAATATCCAAATAAACATGGAAAAGCTTCCAAATATTAGTCGTCATGGAACACAAATTAAAACCACAATGGGATATCACTACATCCCAAATTAAAAAGGCAGATTGTAGCAAATGTGGATGGAGATGTAGAGCAACTAAACTTTCATACACCCTTGGTGGGAGTACAAATTGGTACACTTTAGAAAACCATTTGGCAGTAGCTACCAGAGCTGAACATAAGGAACCCCACGATCCAGGAATTCCTATACTAGTATACACCCAAGAGAAGCACATACGTATGTTCTTCACAGTACCTTTGTAATCACCCAAAACTGCAAACAATCCAAATGTCCATCAATAGTAGAATGGATAGATACATATAAGCAATACTATCCCATAAGGAGAATTAAGTACAACTACGTGTAACAGCAATTAAAATATCACCAGCATGATATTGAGTGAAAGAAGCCAGACACAAAGAGTACATACAACATCATTCTGCTTATGCGACATTCAGAAACAGCTCAACTAATCTATGGTGTTAGAATTCAGGATTACTGATTACCCTTGGCAAGGAGTACCTGTAAAGGAGGAAGAAGGTAGCTTCTGGGGTTCTGGTAATGATCTGTTTCTTAATCTGGCTGGTGATTATACTGGTGCATTCACTTTATGAAAATTCAAGGCCTATTTTTCTGTAGTTATATTAAACCTCAATTAAAATTACATTATATATATGTATTGTGTGTATGTGCCATCCGTATATATATAATACATGCACACATATATTTATAAAATATATAATTCAAAGGTATGTATTTATACATGCATATGTGTACACACACACACACATGCACATACAGACGCACATATATTACATCCAAAATGTAACCACTTCTGACCTTCTCTACTGTTACCTCCCATCTGAGACTACTGCAATAGCTGTTTGCCCCAGTTCCTCTCATGCATCCCTGCAGTCTTCACTTATAGCCAGAATGATAATTTTTAAAGCAGAAGCCAGGTCATATTTGTCCTTGGCTTATAACCAGTAGGAATGGTTCCCCTGTCAATCAGAATAAAATCCTCAGAGGAGACATATATCCCTGACAGCCTATTTAAAGTAGCCTCACTACGCAGACCTGTCACTCTCATCCCTTTACCCGGCTTTAATTTTCTTTATAGTTCTTATCACCAACTGACATACCATTTACTTAGTTATTTATTGATAATTGGTCTCTCTACCACTAGTATGTAAGCTACCTGACAGCGGGAACTTTATCTTTCTTTATTATATCCCTCACATCTAGAACAATACCTGGCATCATAAAGTAGGCAATGAACGAATGAATGAGATCATCACCAAACCACATAGGAAATAAGGCAGAATATGTATGTCTAGCCCTCTTTTATATGTTAGGAGACTAAAAGAATAAAATTACATTAGAAAACAAAAAAATGAAATTACTCACTTGATGTTATTGAGGAGTACAGTTCCGGTCTTCTGTTTTGCTCTCCCCCCCTCTTCCTTTCTCCCTCTGTTCTTTCCCTCCCCCACACCCACATGTACATACATGTGTGCACACACAGGCATAGGCACAAGGAGAATGGGATAAGGACAGTTCTCCTAACTGACGGAAGTATGAATGTAAGCTACCCCATTCAATGCAATTTATAGCCACTTTATTTACATCAGATAGCCATAAAATATATTATATAAAAAATATATAAAATATATATTTTATATTATATACAAAATATATTTATATAAGTAAAATATATTATTATACACACACAAACACACATATATGTATTTTATATATATATATATAATACATGTATGTGTGTTTGTGTGTGTATAATTACAGAGATTATATAATCCTAGTGGTTCAGAATTCAATGAGGATGACGTCCTGGTAAAGATTCATTATATTGGAATCAGGCACTTTTATATGAGCCTTATTTTGTGGATATACGGCCCTTTTGAATACACAATAGTAAAGAACCTATTATTTTTCTTGCCAAAATATATGTATCCATGACCTAGGGCTGCTCCCTCCAGCATTTTGCATTAAAAAAATTTTCAAACAAAATAAAACCATTTTGTTAGGTCCTGCAACAATGATAAACTTTCTGGGCCCTGAAGGTAAATTTTTTTGTAAATGAATATGTTCAGGAGTTGAGATTGTTTGAGTCAAAAGTCTCACCTCCCTGTTCTCAGAATGAATTGTAGAGCCCCTGAAGCAGACAAGGGTGTTTAAGGTTAACCTCTGTTTCTATATAGATATCAATTACCTTTTCAAAGTCTTCCCAGTGGGATTTGCCACTTGGCAGCTTGTCTAAAAACTAGCTAAATGTGCACATGTGTGTGGCGGGGAGGAAAAGGTCCAGTTTGGTTGTCAACCTAGTTGACCCTTCGGTTTTGGTAAAAAGAAAAAAAAAATTTTTTTTCAAAAAAGAGTTTTAGGCCCTTTCAGTTGCTAAATAACTGACTTCACTGTTTTGTAGGTTTATTTTTTTTAATTGAAAAAATGGGAAACTTAGTGATAACCCCCCAAATACACAATACGTGCTCAACTGCTAGTGTTAGTCTCCTTCACCTCCTCCAGCTCAGAAAGCAGTAAGCATAATATCAGGCCCCATAACTCTAAAAGTAAATAATAAAATGAAGCCCAGGATACATTGAGTGTAACAAGGCCAGTGTCAAAAGATCATTTGTTCATCAAGTAGATAAATCTTTTAATAAGACAGAAAATGATGGTTAAAGGGAATGGTGGCTTTTACTTCTGAGTGCAAAATAACCATTAATGTCAGAAGAGAAAGAAATGCTAAAGTTCATTTTGAAGCTCAGACTAACTTACAGATCAGGAGGGGAAGTGTGGAGTAAAGAAGACGGGCATGACTCCGATGCGGGAATTCTAGCTTCATCTTGACCGCACAGACTTGGAAGCTGTGTAACCTAGGGAAAATTACTTAACCTCTCTGAATCTCAGCCTCACAGAGATGTAAAATTAGAATGGTAGATCTTGCAGGGCTTTTGTGAAGATTAAATGAGGTCTTAGTTCTAAAAATGTTTTGTAGCCAAGAATATGCTGTGATAATGTGTAGGATTATTACTGTGCTTAAATAATTTGAGTATCCTTCATGTTTTCTCTCTTCCTCCTAAAGCCACTTCTCTAAGGTTTAGCTAAAGTGACCCCCATCCTTGAGGTTTGCCAATCCCTACTGATTTAGATTAGGATATTTTTCACCAATTAAATGAGAATTTTTCGTATGCTCCATTTCTGAACTGGCCTGACTTAAGCCTTCAGAATAGAACTATTGCCTTCTCTGAAACCCAAATTATTAATGTGGTACAGGAACAAACAGCTCCCTGGGACCCTTAAAGGTAGGAAGACTGGAGATGGAAATTAAAATGTGAGGGAAGTCTTTTCGTTCTTCATCCCAGGATGGAGCATTGTCCCATTTTGCTAAATATTTTTCTCTCTATAATAGAAAAAATCGTTAATGAACACTTATCATATGCCAAGCACTGTGCTATGCATTATTCATGTAATCCTCACAACAGATTAATGCATCCTGTACTGTTTTTGCCACTTAAAGACAAAAGGACTGTAATTAGAATAAGTGGCTTGCCCACGGTCACCTACCTAGTAAGTGGTAGAGTCAGGATTTGAACCCAAACCTGCCTAATTCCTTTCCCAGTCTTTCCATTTGTTGATTATTTACCTCCTACATTTTAACTAACTTTGCCTTTCTATCTCTTTATACTCTCATCCTTTGTATTTCTGTAATTAATAGGGTAGAGAACTATAACAAAAAAGACTAAGGTATGGTCCCTGTGCTTAAGAAACTATGATAGTCCACTGACAGAAAGATGACAGGCAAACAAATGACTGTATGACATGGAAGAACTTAAAGAAGTCCATAAGAGATGGAACATTAGTCTCCTCATTGGTAACATGGGAATAATATTCTACTTTATACGGTGGTTGTTAAAATAGGGTGAAATGCTTGTGTTAAGTGTTGGCAAAAACCCTGCTCAGTGTATGGAATCTATAATGTTGCCAGCCAGTCCCAGGATAATAATTAGGACTCAATGCTAGAAAAGCAACTTGGTGTCAGATTTTGAGAGACTTAAATGCCAGTCTAAAGACTTTGGACCTACAGCTTGATGAAAACAATTATGCCAAGGACAGTAATCACTCTGCAAAGAAATTAGAGCTGATGATATTTTACATTACCTTTCAAAATTCATCATAAGTGAGCTGGAGTCGGTAGAAACAGTTGGAACTGGTTTAAAGGAGTTTTGTATTTGATGTACTAAAAGGAAAGATGATAATTTAAAGTTTGATGCCCTGTACTTTTTCTTCCACAGTAATTAGTGAATGCCAAAGGCAGCAACTGGAGTCTGTGAGCTACTCCTCTCGCTACGCGCTGGGCCTCTTTTATGAAGCTGGCACGAAGATTGATGTCCCTTGGGCTGGGCAGTACATCACCAGTAATCCCTGCATTCGCTTCATCTCCATTGATAATAAGAAACGCAATATAGGTCAGTACCCCCATTATTTCCCTTAAATACAGTAACAATGGTGGGTGTAGATCATGAAAAATGCTGTTTAATTGAGTGTTGCCATTCTGAACAGAGCAAGCATTTAACTCCAAGCCACAGGGGATAAAATTTAATGTCACATTTGGCCAATAATAAAATACACAGTGAAACCAGCAAAGTTTTTCAGAAAATCATTCACCACATGGTTTGTATTACTGAGTTTATGAAAATAGTGTCAGAAGGTTTAAGATTTCAAAATGGCCCAAGTTCTATTGCTTTAATATGGATCCATCTATATGCAAATTTATCTCATCATTTATTTCTTGGTGGAGTTTGCTTTTGTTTGTTTGGTTTTGTTTTTAAAATTTGACGAGTGCTGCTCTTTCCACTTCCCAGGCTAGATATAAAAAGTGAATTTTACTATGCTATGAAAATCCTTCACTTCAATATAATTGTATTTATTTAATTTTCACCTAGAAAACTACATAAAATTACTTTGTATACAATGCAACTAAAATAATAGGTAAAATGTTTCATATGAGCTTTACTAGAATGGGATGAAGTCTACACTCCACCTTCTTTGTTGAAGATAGTTATTAAAATTAGATTTGAGTTGCAAGAATAAACATAACTGATTCATTTCATGCACAAAGGTGAAAGTATATTCTTATTTGTAGGACTGTAGTGATTGCTAAGAAATTGCTTTTTGTGAAATAAACGTTAATGATCTAAAATGACTAAATTCTTGAAAGGAATAGTCACTGCAATTTGTTACGGTGTTTTATGGTGCAGTGATGGTTTCATCAAGCATTAGTTAAAAGTCTTGCCTGATAAAATCACCAACTAACGTCTCTTGGCTTGCCAGAACTTTATAATGATAGAACTGGGCTAGAGTATGGTTTTTATATCAGAGCACATGATCTTAGAAAAATGTTTCTTTTGTAACTTAAAACTCCCTAAGGGCTGGACTGTTTATGTTAACATGATACCACATATATGTATAATCAGCAGTTCATGAAATGCCCTGTAACAGCAATGGGCTAACCATTTTTAACTCGACAACTGCTTTGTTCTGAGAAAAGGAAAATAGCCCTTGATCTTCTGTTATATGTCATGAATTAGGCATTATCCTTTGTGTATTGCTTCATAAGATATGACATCTGTTAGGGTATATTTAGTAATACATAACAGAAAAACCAATTTAAACTTGTTTAAACAACATATGGACATTTGTTATATTATCTGCTATGGACTGAATTGTATCCCCCCAAATTCGTATGTTGAAGCCCTAAACCCCCAATGTGATTATATTTGGCGACAGGGCTTTTAGGGGGTAATTAAGGTTAAATGAGGTCATAAGGGTGGAATCCTAATTATAAGGCTGGCCTTATAAAATGAGGAAGAGAAAGAGAGCGAACTCTATTCTTGGGCATATACCAAGGAAAGGCCATGTGAGGAGAGTGAGAAGGTTAAAAGGCAGGCCGTCTGCAAGCCAGGAAGAGAGTCCTCACCAGAAACCAAATCAGCTGGCACCTGGATCTTGGACTTCCTTCTCTGGAACTGAGAGAAATAAATTTCTTTTGTTTAAGCCATCCAATCTATGGCAGCCCAAGCTAACTGATAATATTATCTAAAAGGAAGAAGTTGGGGAGACTTCATGACTGATTGATTCAATAACAGAGCAACATCTTCAAGGACCTAGGGTTTATCCATCTCTGCTCTCTTCCACTATTAATGTTGACATCCTCAGAGGACTGGTAGCAAGATGGCAATGACTATTGGAGTCACATCCAGACCCAGCAACATGCTTAGGAAGAAGACGGACTATTACTATCTCAGTCCCTTTCTGAGAATTAAGGAAATCTTTCCAGAAACCCCTCAACTGACTATCTTGTATCTCATAGGTCATAACTGGGTTACTCAACCAGTCTGAAACCAATCACTGGCAAGGGAGGTGGGACTACCATTACAACCTTAGACAAATCAAGATCTACTCCTGGAACTGGTATCAGGATCATCTTCCCTTTAGTCATATGAGGGTAGATACCTGACTAAAATAGGGTTTTGTTAGGAAGAAAGGGGGGAATAGTGGATGCCGGGTTGGCAACAAATAATGTCCATTATCTTCAAGTAGATTCACATCTTATGTGAGAGATAAAATTGTAAAGTTGGCACAGAAAGAGAAGAATCATGTATATTCAAAATTATCTTTGAAAATATCTTAAAACTACGTGACATTTTGGAGACTAACATAACGTTCAGTAAATTCAGCATAGCATTTTGTGAGCATTCAATAGACTTCAGTTTATTCGGGTGAGGCCAGATGAAATTGTTCGTTTGCATTTATGGGACAGTAATATCTTCTACTATGAAAGGCACACAGGAAAGAAAGAAATAGCAGTCATATCTCCTAACAGATTAAATCGCTGTGCAAATGGAGTGGGATGGTGAGTGAAAGCACCCACACTACTATGTAGTAGCAATTTATAAAATCAGAGTTATGCAAATTTGAAAGAGTACAACATAAAAATATTAATAAATTCTCACAAGATTGTCAGCTTTTGAAATAACAGAAATATGAAAAGAATCTTTTTTTATATTAACAATCACACAATTTTAAATCTTGAGGGCCAGGTGAATTGGGAACCATGTTTTTGCTACAGCCCATGGTGGTGCCACTTCAGACAGCAAAGAAATACCTTCCTTCCTTTGTCAGTTTTATGAAAAATTAATTTTGGATTATGCAAGTTTTAAAATGTAAGAGACCCCCACTAATGGCATTCCCTAACATAAAATCTAACTAACTGCCTTGCATTTAAACTATTTTTTCTCACTATCTGGGGCCAGGGTGCTAAGTATATCTACTTGAATTCACATAATATAAATGTCCATATATTTTATGTCCACTGTATTTTATTGACATTGATATTTAAGTAGGCCAGTAAGAATTGTCTCTTTATGTTACTAACACTACCCAACTCTACCCTTTATTTGGGGTGTTCTATTGAAACAAGAATTAATACTATAAATACACACAATCAATGAAGGGAAACATTTGTGTTCTGTCAGGTAGGGCAGCAACAAGACAGAAAAAGGGTGGCAGAGCTGTCCACAAAATAAAGTCTGTTGTCAAGTCTTGAAGAGAGCCAGAGGATACAGGATTAGTAGCCCAAACCAGACAAAGGTCAAGGAGTAATTATTTGTCAAATGTCAGGAATAGACAGTACACAAACCAGAAACAAAAGTCTCCTTGGGCAGAGGGGCTAAATTCCAAGATGTATTAGATTCATACCAGCGATTATGGGTATGACCCAATACACTTAGGCTTGTGCTTTCCAAAATGTGTTCAACGGAACATCAGTTCCTTGATATGCTCTTTGTGAAGGGGCTCTGTCATCAATAAGTTTGCAAAATACTACTGACTTTACCGCTATTTTAGAGAATCTCAGGGCATATTATCCTGTTAAAAGATATTCCTGTAGAGAAGACACCTTCTCATTTTATTTAATCTAGGATTTCCCAAATGTACTTGACCATGGAATATTTTATTTAGGCACCAAACCTGCTAACATCCCACAGAAATTGTTCCCCAAGACACACTTGAGAAAGCCTGACTTGATGTCACCGTTTATGCTTTGTACTTGGGCAGGAATTGTAAGCCAGATGAGAGGATGGGGAAGTCTAGTCCTGAAGTCATCAGTGGGAAGATACTGAGTTTTTTTAGAGGTGGAAGAAGACTTTTTGCAGATGAACTCAAAACTTGGTAGGGTTATAGCTGGAGACAATTTAGGTTGAAATAAGGTCTGAAATAAGGTCATGTGAATTATCATTAACATGGATAATATTTTAAATTATCAATAAGATTATCACTGTGGGAAGAATTTGGACTTTAAAAGACTCAGATTCAAATTCTGGCTCTGAAACTTGCTAATGTTGTGATCTTGTATGACCCTTGTTTTGTAACTATAGGTTTTGTAACAAACACAATCAAAAATTTTAATGGCCTGAACATAACAGAAGTCTGTTTCTGCTTCACATAAGACCCAAACAGGTGTTTATGATTGGAAGGTAGGTTTCATCAAAGAGGTGATTCAGAGATCCAGACTCCTTCCACCCTTTGACTCTATCAGCTTCCTCAGGTGGCTTATAGAGTCACTGTGCTCATAGGAATCAAACAAGTGGATGAGGAAAAGAATGGAGGAGAGCACATAGGATATTTTTAGGGTTAGACTTAGAAATGGTACATATCAGGAGGGGTCACGTTTTATTGATTAGAACAGTTATGTGGCCATACCTATTTGGAAGGAGCACTGGAATCGTGGTCTACCCGTGCATGTAGGAAGAATAAAAAGTGGGTTGGTGAACATCTAGCCAGTTTCTGCTGGAGCACTTAGCATAAGTCCTTCTGTGAAAGAGGCAGATTAGATCTACATAGATGATAAATAGATTTCAACACAGGTGCCAATCATTTAACAGGTAATCATCACCTGGGGCAAAAACTAAGAACAATTCCAAGACTGGGTCTAGACTCAGTAGAAGAGGATTCTACCAACAATTGGCAATGTCTGTCATGCAGAGGGCATGGGGAGCAGTGGGACAAGTGAAAGACATTTATCTCCTGTATAGGGAAAACACTCCTGTGTGTTCCTCCTTTACTCTCACACTCCTACCACGCTCACAACACTTCTGACACCAGAAGTATGGATTTTCCACACCTCAAGGAATTCTGCAACCCCTGCTTGGTGCCCTGCAATTCAATTCAGTTCTGACACTATCTCTGAGGAGTTAGCAGCAGATCCCACAGGCAAAGGGTCCGACCCCACAAGACTGCCTCCACTTCAGATACCAATTGCAAGTTTCAAGCTGTCGTCTGTACTTCTGACTAACCAACTATAAACCGGTGTTCCCATGACCCCTCCTTGTGTTTGATAATTTGCTAGTATGGCTCACAGAACTCAGGGAAACACCTATTTACACTCACCGATTTATTGTGTAATAAA